CGGAGCCCAGGCTTCCGAGGGAAGTGGCCCCGCTCTCCGGCCCGGCCTCCGCTGCAACCCAACCCGCCCAGTAGGACGCTCCCTCCGCCGGAGCAACGAGCCCCTCATTCGCTGTGCCTGGCGGTTGGCCGCTCGAGGGGTGGTGGAGTTGCCCAAGTTTACGCCCCAGGGCGCTTCCCTGGGCTTGCCCGGGGTGCCTGTGGTGTAGGGCGCTCTGCGCAAGGAGGCGATCCCGAGCCGCCTCTGGAAGTGTTTCTAGGTGAGCAGTTCGGGTGCAGAGAAGAAAGGGACCCGCTTCTTCAAGGCTCCAGTAATTTCTTGTGTTTTAGTTTCTCATCTAAAGTTAATATAGGCCGACCTTGGAGGTAGTGCCAGTTCGGCTCCAGAGCACCGCAAAAAAGCGAGCGCTAATCTTCAGACTGTAAAAAACACAAAACCTGTGAAGCCCGACAAAGCGCAGCTCTGTAAAAAGGAGGTATGCCTGGAGTCAGCTTCCTACCTAATTGTGCGGTCTTCTTCCTAGAAGGGCCCCTCGGAGCCTGAATCCAGCCCTGCTTTTCTTCCCAACTTCTTAGTGTTTACACCCTCCCTGTTTCAGGTGCTTCATCAGGGCCAAATGTGCCTTCGGTGTCAAGTTCCTTTTCTAGCTCCTCTACCCCTTTTCTCTCTCCCTGTTACTATTTAAACGGAAAAGATTAAATTGGTCTCCCCACCTCCGATTTTGTTCCCCTCAACCCTTTCTGCACAGAGCAGCTGGAAACTCTTTCTAAAGAATAAATCTGACCATGTCACTCCTGCGCTTACATTCCGTTCACCTGCCGCTCATTGTTCTAAGGATAAAGTCCAAACTCCTACCCTCTCTGACCTCTCTCGAGAGGGGAGTTAACACCTCTTACCTCCCCAGACCAAGAAAACTCCACACTGTCCTCCAAAAACTGAGCAAATCCTCATCTGTAAGAGGGTCATTTCCTCCAGGAAGTCTTCCCAGACCACACCACCAGTCATCCACTCAGGTGTAGGCTAGGTGCACTACCTGTATACTTACAGAGCACCCTTGCATAACTGTCAGTCACTCCACTTGTTTAGAAGTTTCCTTAAGATAGAAACTATGCGTTGTTTACCAGTGTCTTCCCTGTGCTTGCCTGGACATCCAAAACTGTCTTCATTTTATTATACTGAAAGAATGTAGTTTGTCATGAGAGCCCCAGGCTATGACAAATACTACTTCCATAAAGAGGACCTCCAAGCATTGTATCTCTCCTATAGTTGGTGGTATGAGGTTCAACAACCCATCCTTCCCTTTGTAGGCCATCTCTCAACCTAGATTATGGGCCCCCTAAAAAGCTTCCCTAAGTCACAGCCCCTGTAGATTCATGAGGTTTATTTCTCACACTACAATTTGCATGTTTCTTACCAACCTCTAGAGTAACTACTATTCCTGGTCTTGAGGTTCCCATTGCATGCGATCACCACTGTGACCTCTGCCCTAAGGAACATCCATCCAGGTGATTACAGTTTCTGCAGATCAAATTGTGGCGTGGCGCCAGAGTGACATAACTGAAGTACGCTGGAGGCATCCCTGCCAGCTGAGACAAAGCAGCTTTCGGAGTTCCTTGCTTACTGGGAATGAGAAAAAATTATTTTCCTCGAGGGGCTATATTGAAATCTCCACCTTATTAAGTTTATGATAACCCATGGCCACTCTTCAAGACCTATGCATCTTCTAAACAACTGGACAGTTAGGTGGAGATCGTGTAGGAATTTAACATCCCAGTAGCATTCAAGTTCAGGTCTAAGAATTGGTATGGGTACCAGATTGTCTGTTGATGACTGAAGTCGGACCTGGAGAGCTTTAGATTTCCTTCCATCACATGGATTATGTGGAGCATATAGGGCTGCCCATCTATTTTGGTCCCGGGCTCATGATCAGTTCATTTCTCTCAAAGATACCTGATGTGCAGACAATTCTGATCCCAGACTGGCCCTGGGAATGGTCGTGGTCACCATGACTTCTACTGAGATGACCTCACCTCTCCTGGTGGTTGTGCCCCTACTGGCCTCTGACACCTAGGAATCTGGTGAATGTGAGGGAGTCTGTTTAATACCAGCAGCTTCCCACAGAACCTCCTAATGTATACTGATAGCCATGACAGTCCTTATGAGAAGTGGTGGCACTTTATTTCTCAATGCCTTGAGGAAAGGAGCATCTTCTGGTCCCTCTCAGGGCACAGGGTTAGGAGATTGGTGAGTGAGTCATACACAATATATCCACACCAACATTCCTGTTTCCTTGGGTTCCTGCTCCTACATTATGCCAAAAAAATTCAGGCATCTGGGCTTTTCTTGTGTGGGCCTCCAGGATTCATTCAACCGACCAAGCAAGTCAATGGTCAGAACCACACCCCCGGCTCTAGGAAGCACACTGAGCTGCACTGTCTTGGGAAGGAAACATCCTGTACTTCTCTCCATGGTTTAGCACCCTCAGGATTGATTCCCACGTGTGTTTCCAAGACTTTTACCAAGATAAAAAGCAAAATCTTGCAACTCTTTTGGTAAAAAAGTCTCCTGCATCCAGCTTTGGTCTTCTAGCATGAAGAGCATGTTAGTGCCTAGCTATGGTTTGGGTAGAAAGGCAGTGAGAAGAGGGGAGGTACAAAAGAACTTGCATTCCACCTTGTAAAGTGACTTCCTGGGGCAAGAACATTATAGGTCTTGAAGCAAGTGAGGAACAGTGTCTACACAGGGAGGAGGGAGGCTGTGTGCTCCGTGCATCCTCAGTCTCGTATGTCTCCACTCAGAGTCTCCTGATCCTATTTCCAATCAGCTCCCAGATCATCAATGGGACAAGAGGAGGT